CCCTGATAATGAGTGATGTTGAGCATCTTTTCATGTGTCTGTTGGCCATCTGGATGTTTTCTTTGGAGAAGTGTCTATTCATGTCTTCTGTCCATTTTTTAATTGGATGATTCACTTTTTGGCTGTTGAGTTTGATAAGTTCTTTATAGATTTTGTATACTAACCCCTTATCTGTTAAATCATTTGCAAATATCTTCTCCCATTGCATCAATTGTTTTTTAGTTTTGTTGAGTGTTTCCTTTGCTGTACAGAAGCTTTTTAATCTTGATGAGGTCCCAACAGTCCATTTTTTATTTCATCTCTTTGCCTCAGGGAACTTACCTAGAAGAAAGTTGCTATGGCCAATGTCAAAGAGGTTACTGCCTGTCCTCTCTTCTGGGATTTTTATAGGCTTCAGGTCTCACATTTAGCTCTTTAATCTATTTTGAATTTATTTTTTGTGTCTGGTGTAAGAAGGTGGTACAGTTTCATTGCTTTGCATGTTGCTGTCCAGGTCTCCCAACACCATTTGTTGAAGAGACAGTCTTTTTCCCATTGGATATTCTTTCCTGCTTTGTCAAAGATTAATTGACCATATAGTTGTGGGTTCATTTCTGGGTGTTGTATTCTGTTCCAATGATCTATATGTCTGTTTTTGTGCCAGTACCATACTGTTTTAATCACTACAGCTTTGTAATATAACTTGAAGTCCTGGATCCACTTTTACTGTAAAACAATTGCATGAATCTTAAACTCATAATAGGTGAAAATTTAGTTTCAATTTATTAAGAACCATGATATGTACATATAAATTTGTAGAGCCCTTGAAATAACAACATGATTTACTAAAATGTGGTTTGTTATAATCTAATCAAGAGATTTTGTGGTTTGGGTGTGGATAGGTATGAAACATTTGAAAGATATGCCAATTATGCCAGGAGAGATATTCAAGTATAAATGGACAGTGACTGTAGAAGATGGGCCGACTAAATCAGATCCTCGGTGCCTGACTCGATATTACTCGAGCTTCATTAATCCAGAGAGAGATCTAGCTTCAGGACTCATTGGCCCTCTCCTCATATGCTACAAAGGATCTGTAGATCAAAGAGGAAACCAGGTGAGTTCTTCTCTTTCCAAGCCCTGGGTTTGATGGACCGATGATGAATATGAACTTCTAGATATTTGTTATACTCTCTCAGTGTATGTCCCCTAATAGCCTCCAGAAAAAACAGTAGTTTGCAATATTGGCCAATAAAAGAAATGAGCTGGGTTTTTCGCAGCTGTTATTGAATTTAGTTTGGTGTAATAAACTTGCCTGCTGGAGGGATAGGAGAGCCTGGGCTCTAGAATATTTCTATAATACTAGAGCCTAGAATTCCAGCCTAGAATTCCACTTTCTGGGGGTTCTTGGCCGGCTCAGTCAGAAGGGCACGTGACTTTCGGGGTCATGAGTTTGAGCCCGTCATTGGGTGTAGAGATTACTTAGATAAATAAAACTTAAAAAAATTTAATTCCACTTTCTATAGGTGGTCTTGCTCATTTTTACATGCTGAGCTACCACCCATATTTAGATGCCCCACAAACGTATATCATAGTGTAGCCTTCTCCCCTGGATGTCTCATCACAGGTGACTCAAAATTAACACATGTGCAGCGTCTAGCATAGCGCATGGCATGTAGTAGGGGTTCCATAAATATTTGTCGAGCAAAATACAGGAAAAGATATAAGATCTTTCAGAAATGTTGAAAATTTAGAACACTTACGCTGCTTTAAAAAAATAAGGTTGAGTTGTCTGAATAAGAAAAGCCTAATGCTTGTCAAAAACTCATTGCCTGGATCCAGAATAACTCAGTGCCATATTGCTGAGGCTTGACTACATGTCTATGTGGTTATGTATGAAACATAGGATTTGTACTAGTCTGAGAACATTTCATTTATTTAGGGAATAAAGCATGTGAATTTTAAAACATGTGGCACACAAATCGAAGAGGCAAAAATTTGGTCAAGTACCAGCCCTGAATTTTGTTTTCATAATTATAGTTTTTCTACTAGTTTTTGGAAAAGGACTGAAATGTACCTGTATATTTTCCAGCATTCTCCCCTCAGCATTTTGGTTTCTGTAGTGCTAGGTTATGCAAATTGAAATTTACACCTACTAGTGAAGTTCACACAGTAAGCCTTAACAGATTCAGTTAACAAGTACTAACTCCTAATTTTGGTTCATATAAAAACTGCTTTTCTGAAAAGAACTTTAAAACTTTTAAACAGAAAACTTAAGGGGCACCTGGGTGGCTCTGTCAGTTAAGCATCCAACTTCGGCTCAGGTCATGATCTCACGGTTTGTGAATTCAAGCCCCGTGTTGGGCTGTGTACTGACAGCTCGGAGCCTGGAGCCTGCTTCAGATTCTGTGTCTCCTCTCTCTGCCCCTCCCCCATTCGTGCTCTGTCTCTGTCTCCCAAAAATGAATAAATGTTAAAAAAAAAAAAAAATAAACAGACGGGTGCCTGGGTGGCTCAGTTGGTTAAGCGTCCCACTTCGGCTCAGGTCATGATCTCGCGGTCCGTGAGTTCGAGCCCCGCGTCGGGCTCTGTGCCAACAGCCCAGAGCCTGGAGCCTGTTCCAGATTCTGTGTCTCCCTCTCTCTCTGATCCTCCCCCGTTCATGCTCTGTCTCTCTCTGTCTCAAAAATAAATAAAATTAACGTTAAAAAAATTTTTTTAAAATAAACAGAAAAGTTAAGATATTTGTGTTAGTTAACATTTTATGGTCCATTTTAACTTTGTTATTTGATTTCTGTTTTCTGTTTTTATTTTTTTATAGATTGGTAGCTTTGTGGAAGGACACTTGCCTGTTGGAATTTTAGGAGAGGCATTAATCTTACTTGATTGACTAACTTGTTTAAGAAAAACACTGAATAATCACTTGAGTCTTTAAAGAATGAAAATCCTCTAATCTGAACTTGGAGGAAATGAGGCTGCAGACTGTACCAAAAAATCAGTCAGCATTTGACTTTGGGTCCAGAAGAAACTAAGTTGGTGGGTCCAGTCACCCTCTTGCCTTGAGGGCACATCTGCTCTAAACATATGCTCACTGTTTGCAGCACCTGCTCCTCCCCCCAGGCCCTGGTATGTGCCATAATAGTGACCTTAGGGAGAAATGGAATTGAACCAAAGGATTCAGTATAGATATAGCACATGTATGCCATCACTTCGTGCAGACTGCTAATTCCTACCTAACAAGACTCATAGCATTTCTTTCTTTCAATATGTACAATTAACAGATGATGTCAGACAAGAGAAACGTCATCCTGTTTTCTGTATTTGATGAGAACCAAAGCTGGTACCTCACAGAGAATATGAAGCGCTTCCTCCCGAATGCAGATGCAGTGCCGCCCCACGACCCGGAGCTCCAGGTCTCTAACATCATGCACAGTAAGTAAAGCAGCACTTGAGTCCAGTGGGTGATCGATAAAGGAAAACTGAAGCCACCAAATTGATGTCCAGATTAATTGATATGCCAGGCAAGAGTCTTATTTCCTTAAAAATTGTTACATATGAACATACACAGTTTTCTGTAAGTACATAAATGTGATCATATAATGCATACGCTTTTGTCTTTTAGAAGATATCAAGCATTCAGAGAACTTTATTCTTAAGGAATAAATCAAATAAGACACAACTTTCATTTATCCAAATGTGCATAATCCATCCTTAATATAAAATGCATGTGGGGCACTGGTAGAGCATACAACCTCTGATATCAAGGTTGTTAGTTTGAGCCCCTCGTTGGGTGTGGAGATTACTTAAAACTAAAATTGTATTTATTTATTTATGTATTTATGTATGTATGTATTTATTTATTATTTTTCTTTTTAGTGAGAGAGAGCACAAGTGAGGGAGAGAGACAAAAAGAATCTTAAGCAGGCTCCATGCTCAGTGCAGAGCCTGACAATAGGGCTCAATCCCAGGACCCCGGGGTCATGACCTCAGCCAAAATCAAGAGTCAGACGCTCAACCAACTGAGCCACCCAGGTGCTCCTAAAACTAAAATTTTTAAAAATTATTTTAATGCATTCAATTGGTAAGTTACACATGAACTACAAAGGGAATGCAATTTTAGACATGTAAACCCATTGCTAGCTACAGTCAAATTAATCAAGACTCTGTACATTAAAAAGAAATCTTTTTTTCTAGCTTTACTGAGGTAGAACTGATGAATAAAAATTATATATATTTAAGGTACACAACATGATTTTTTTATGTTTATTTGGCTGCCTCCTCCCTTTTATCTCTCTATTTCCTCCCAAACTATACCTTCCCACTAAGGATTCCACATTCTAATAGCTCATGTTAAAACGTATTTTCTCCATGATTATATAACCATATATGAACACATATATATATTGTGTTAGTCTGCAAGGCCCACCCTAACCTTTAAAGGACCACAGACTGAGTGACTTCATGGCAGACGGTTACTTCGTCCCAGTTTTGGAGGCTAAAGATCTGACATCTGGGTGTCAGCAGAAGGGGCCTGTTGACTTGTTGATGGCCACTTTCTGTATCCTCACACAGTCTTTCCTCTGTGCGTGCACATGTCTGGGTACAAACTTCATGTTCTTAGGGCCACCCTCAGACCTCATTTGATGAATTACCTGTTTAAACACCTGATCTCTGAACACAGTCACATTCGGAGACACTAGAGGTTAGAACTTCAACATATGAATTTGGGGAGGAGCGCAGTTCAGCCTATTACATACACACATATATGTGTGTGTTTTATACATACACACACAAGTCAGAATGGTCAACAATATAATTTAAAAATTTCAATCTCACTACAGGAAAATGCAAAATAGAATACCAATGCTGTGACACTTGCTACCTATCAGACTGGCAAAATGATAAGACAGTAACACAATTATTACTCGTGGGCTTGTGAGCACAAGGGTATGCTCATGCGATGGTAGTACACAAGTAGTACAGTATTTGAAACAGATCTGATTGAAACCATTAAAATTAAAAATATATGCATTTGCCGTTCTGGTTCTGGTTAAGATGGAATGAGCACATTTCACCCTGTCTGTCCCACTGGATGACTGAAATTCCTTAACAGCAGATAATTGGGGAAGGAAGCTAGAAAGATTTCAAAGCACGCATATTACAAGTGAAGAAATGAATGCAGATTTAATGTAGAATATCTTTGGGTCAGGCAGGGGAGGGAAATGTGTGGCTTTGATGAAACTTGAATGCTGTAGCCCTTGCTTGTTCCATTTGGGCCAGCAATTCAAAGTGGGGAGGAATATCCCACCAAACTAGGGGAGTCTCCCCCCAAACCAGGGACCTCCTTCCCTCTGTCTCCTTTCCCCTTAATACGAGGAATTAAGATGCTGTAACTTTTTGGAAACTCAGTTTTTTGGGATTTTATTTGGGTAGGTTTGGGGGTCCATACCATTTCTATCCCCTGGGGAAAACACAATGAGGGAGAAAGTAAACGGGGAGGAAACCTCTCCTTTCCCACCTTCGCCTTTAGCTTCTTGAAAACGGACCCCTGGGGAACAAATATGCCAGGTTTTATTTTTAAAGACTTAGAAACAATCAAAACGTCCCACAGTAGGCAAATGGTTAAACAAACTGTGGTACATCCGCACACTTGAATACTCAGCAATAAAACAGAATGAACATTGATACACAAAACATGAATGAACCCCGAAGGCATTAAGCTGAGTGATAATATCCAGTCACAAAAGGTGGCATACTGTGTTATTTCATTTACAAGGGCATTCTGGGGAAGGATGGAAAATAGAATAGTGGTTGTCAGAGCTTGGGTGGAGCCGGAGCTTGATTCTTTGCAATGAAGGGCTCCAGTACAATGGAGTTTTCCGTGTTGAATGAGATGTTCTGTATCCTGATTGTCCTCGTGGCTACACACATTGGTGTATGTGCTGAAACTCACAGAACTGTGCTCCAAATAAGAACCAATTTTACTATGTAAATTTTTAGAATTAAATATATATACCTTTTGATCCAACATTCCTACTGCTGGGATATATCTCATGGGAGTAAAACACCAGTACATAAGGACAGATGTACAGGGATGTATTGTAGCAGTGTTTATAGTGCCTAAAACAAATCAACTAAAGTCAAAGGTAATGCCTATCATTAGAGGGATGTTTCAATATATTGTGGCACACCCATAATATGAAATACCATGAAGCCATTAAAAAGAATGGATCAGAGCTGTACCCAGCTACTTAAAGCAATTTCTGTTAAGTATTGTTGAATAACCTAATGCAGATGCAGAAAAAGTATATGTAATATGACCTCATTTTTGTAAAGTAAATAATGACCACAAGAGAGAAAGCATAGACATGTATATATGTATATGTAGAGAGTGATATGTTTTCAAGGCAATGTGATATGTTCTAATCATTCTGGGCTACGGCTCTTTCCTCAGTATTTCTAATCATATCTCTATCACTTTATTCCCACTTTGTTTCAAAAACAAAACTATGTAAGTTATGTCAAGAAAATGTGGCAATACAAGTCTAGAGAAGGAATACATGTTCTACTTTTTCAAGTCCAATCTGACCATCTCTCTCCTACGGGGGGCATGTAGCCCATTGCATGGGATTTATTGGTACTATCGGATTTTGTGTTTCCTATTTTTTCTGAATTTTTCATTTTTTTCTCCTTTGTTGCTTTTTTGATTAAGCTATTTTTAAACTCCATCTTTTTCCTTTACTATTTTGGAAGTTATGCACACTTCTATTTACTTTTGGGGACAATTGCTCTTTAAGTTTTATTTATTTGATAGAGGGGGGAGGGGCAGAGAGAGAGGGACAGAAAATGCCAAGCAGGCTCCACACTCTCAGCTGTTAGATGCATGGCTCAAACCCATGAACCATGAGATCATGACCTGAGCCAAAACCAAGAGTCAGACACTCAACCAATTGAGCCACCCAGGTGCCCCTGGGGAGGATTACTCTTAAAATACTGCCCTTCATACAAAGTCTGAGGTTGTTCTTTGCCTTGTTTCATTTCCAGATATTCCAGAAATATAATTGACATATAACATTGTGTAAGTTTAAGGTGTACAACATGTTTATTTGATATACTTATATATTGCAAAATGATCACCACCATACTGTCAGCTGACACCTCCATCATGTCACATAATTATCATTTCTTTTTTCTAGTGAGAACATTTCAGATCTACTCTCTTAGCAACTTTCAAGTACATAATACAGTATTATTAACTATAATCACCATGCTGTAAATTAGATCCCCAGAACTTGTCTTATAACTGATATTTTGTACCCTTTGACCAACATCTCCCCATTTCCCCCACCACCCTCCTGGTAACCACCATTATACTCTCTGTTTCTATGAATTCAGCTTTCTTAGATTCCACATGTAAGTGGAATCATACACTGTTTGTCTTTCTGCCTCTGTCTGATCTATTTTACTAATGATCACGTTTCCCTAATGATTAATGATGATGAGCATCTTTTCATATACCCATTGACCAACCAACAGTTGGATGCTTAACCAACTGAACCACCCAGGGACACCTTCCTCTGCCCTTTTTAAAAATCAGAGGTGTTTTTTTTTTGTTATTGAGTTTTATGAGTTCATTATATATTTTGGATATTAAGCCCTTACCAGATAAATGATTTGCAGATATTTTCTCCTATTCCTTAGGCTGCCTTTTCATTTTGTTGATTGTTTCTTTTGCTGTGCAGAAGCTTCTTAGTTTCATGTCATCCCATTTGTTAATTTTTCCTTTGTTGCTTGTGCTTTTGGTGTCATATCGAGAAAAATCATCACCAAAACCAATGTCAAGGAGCCTTTTCCCTATGTTTATAGGAGTTTTACACTTTCAGGTCTTATGTTTAAGTCTTTAATGCATTTCAGGTTAATTTTTGTGTAGGGTGTAAGGGTTCAGTTTCTTTCTTCTCCAGATGCCTATTCAGTTTTCCCAGCACCACTTATTGAAGGCATTACCCTTTCCTCATTGAATATTCTTTTTTAAAATTTATTTATTTTGAAAGAGGGAGAGAGAGCACAAGCAAGCGTGTGAGCAGGGGAGGGGCAGAGAGAGAGAGGGAGAGAGAGAATCCCAAGCAGGTTCCCTGCTGTCAGCACAGAGCCCGATGCGGGGCTCCATCTCACAAACTGTGAGATCATGACCTGAGCTGAAACCAAAAGAGTCGGATACTTAACCGACTGAGCCACCCAGGAGCCCCCTCATTGAACATTTTTGATTGCTTTGTCAAATATTAGTTGGACATATACTTAAGGATATATTTCTGGGCTTTTGATTCTCTTCCATTGGTCTATGACTATTTTTGTGCCTGTACCATACTGCTTTAATTACTACAGCTTTGTAGTGTAGCCTGAAATCAGCCATTGTGATTGCCCCCAGCTTTGTTCTTTCTCAAGATTGTTTTGGCTATTCAGAGTCTTTTGTTGTTCCATATGAATAGTCATATTTTCAGGGTGCCTGGGTGGCTCAGTCAGTTAAGCATCTGACTCTTGGTTTCGGCGCAGGTCATGATCTCGCAGTTCGTGGGTTCAAGCCTTGCGTCAGGCCCACACTGACAGTACAGAGCCTACTTGAGATTCTGTCTCTCTCCTCTCTCTTGGCCCCTCCCCTGTTCACATGCTCTCTCTCTCTCTCTCAAAATAAATAAATAAATAAATAAATAAATAAATAAATAACCTTTAAAAATAAAAAGTAAATGAATAGTCATATTTTCCATCAGCATTTAGCAAATAGCTCATTCTCTTTTGCTACCAGTTTGAAATGCTGCCTTTATCACGTATTAAATTCCCATGTGTATGTGTATCTCTTTCTGGACTCTATATTCTGATTGACATATTCATGTATACCTGTGGATGACCACACCTTCAATTACAATAGACTTATAATATCTTTTAATGCTTTGTAGGGCAAGAAATTTGATTCTCGCTTAGTTGCCCTCAGCTAGAGTCTGAGTATTGCTTAGTAGATTTGTGAACCACTCTGCAGAATAGACAGGCACTTATTGAATAGATAGATAGATGTATGGAAGAGGCTTTCAGAAATAATTCCCTTTATAGAAGAAAGTCACTGTTACTTTTGTTTAGCTTTTTATTTAGAAATAATTTCAAACTTACAGAACTTCTACAAGAATATTATAGAGAACTCCCATATACCTTTTACCCAAATTCATTAATTTTTTTAAAACATTTCTTTATTATTAAGAGACAGAGAGAGACAGAGCATGAGCATGGGAGGGGCAGAGAGAGGAGGAGACCCAGAATACGAAGCAGGCTCCAGACTCTGAGCTGTCAGCACAGAGCCCAAATCGGGGCTTGAACTCACAAACCACGAGATCATGACCTGAGCCAAAGTTGGACGCTTGACCAACTGAGCCACCCAGGCTCCCCAATTCACTAATTTTTAATATTTTTCCTTATTTACTGTATTATTCTCTTTTTTCTCCATATGCTTTTATTGCTTATTTTCCAATTCAGAACAGGTTGCAGACATCATGCTGTTTTATCTCATAATACTTCATTTTGCATTCACTATGAGTACAGATATTTTTTGAAAAACTTTAACATTGCTACAATACAATTATCTAATTGGCAGCCAGTATTCCAATTGTATAAATCAAGGCCGTCTTTTGCAGCATTTCCCTCTCCAGTTCACGGAGGGTTAAAGTCTATGACTCTTCTAGCTTTGCGACTGGGAGCTAGGTGACCAAGTACTAGCGATGTACTGTTATGGAAAGTATAGCGCTACCTCTCCTTGGGACTAGGTAATGGGCTTAACCCGTCATTATTTTTCATCATATCACGACAACCCAAAATAATAAATCAAATGTCTTGTTCCCATTTGGTTTGCAGGCATCAACGGCTATGTTTTTGACAACTTGCAGCTGTCAGTTTGTTTGCATGAGGTGGCATACTGGTACATTCTAAGTGTTGGAGCACAAACTGACTTCCTGTCTGTCTTCTTCTCTGGATACACCTTCAAACACAAAATGGTCTATGAAGACACACTTACCCTATTCCCATTCTCAGGAGAAACTGTCTTCATGTCAATGGAAAATCCAGGTTAGCTATTTATATTATTCTCTTACTAACAGCTGTGATCCTTTGCTCGCTGTTCATGTGTTCACGTGGGAGCGGATACTGAATGGTCCAAGTGATGTTAGTAATTGCAAGGCATTTTAATGACAGCAGAACATCAGGTATTTAACTAAAGTCTTTCCTCTAAAAAGTGCCTTTACTTACCATTGCCCAAAATCTTAAGTGTGCTTACTAAACTGTAGCGGTGAATATATATTTATAGATGCAGTTACCGTGTGTGAGCTGAACATGTTTCTGTGTGCTTTGTGAACACTTGTACTGTCATCTGAATACCACCGAGTAATCTCTCTTGGTACACATACCCTCAAACCACTGGGGAGCCTTTGGGATGGTTGTGGCTGTCACTTTCTCATCTTCCTTCTCCGTCCGTCACCACTGCAAGGCTTTTGACAGCATCAGCTGTCAGCAAAAACACTGACATGGCCTAAATCCAACACAGATTGTTGCTACATTCATACAGCTTAGTATCGAGTGCTAGGCCACTCCATGCTCTCGTCCTTCACACCTCTGTTGTCTGCGGGGAAGAGCATGTCAGATTGTAGTTCTTCTCTTACACTGAAGGCCTCTCTGGACATAAACTCTCAAAGGGAAATTTCTGGGGAGTAAAAACCAGTCTCATCCTATATAAACATATGTTCACCTTTATACCCAGAAACTTATTGTACTTACAAGTGATGGATTTTTGTGGAAAGTGAGTAAAGAAGAACCTGGCAGAACTCCAGCAGTATCTCTGGAAGTGTCTTGTACATTTATGTCTTTGTTATCTGTTTTCCAACTAATTTTCAAACTCGCTGAGGACAGAGACCTTGTTTATCTTATTCATCACTGTATCCCTAATGTATATAGTTCCTGGCCTGTAGTAAGTGCTTAATAAATATTTCTTTCAATTAACAAATGGATATGTACCAAAAAGATGATAAAACATTATGTATAATATGGCTATAAGTATCTAAACCAAAGAGAGAAATTGTGTGTATGTGTATGTATGTGTATAGGCAGAGAAAAATATTACAAATAACAATATTTTATGAAGCTTTTAAACTATTTTGGTGATTACTTAAATTCTACAGACAAATTAAAATGGCTTTATGTGTCTTGAGGGAAAAAAATCCTAATGTAATATCATTATTTACAAATCTCAAGCTAAATAAAGCCCCTAAAGATTTCCTGTGTTCAGAATGGTAAAGTCTGATTCCTTTTGTCTGGTTTTTTTTTTTTTTTTTTGAGGTAAAATTCACCATTTTAACCATTTAAAAGTGTACAATTCTGTGGCAGGAGACTGGTCTATACCCACTGACCCAGTCTCAAACTTGACTGGAAATGATTTGCTTGTGGCAGAAGGTGAAGGAGGGGATTGCCAGCCGGTGTCCCCAAGGGAATTATAATTCAACGTTGTGCAACCATTACTATTATCTAATTCCAGAATATTTTTATCACCCCAAAAAGAGACCCTTTACCATTAAGAAGTCACTCCCTATTCCCCCTTCTTTTAATTTTCTCTGCAACTCTAACTATATCTCCTTTTTTATTCCAAATTTTATACACATAGAATTTCTTATTTTTATTTGGTTACTTATTTTATTGAGTTTTTCATCAAAGAATCCGCTCTTCTTTAAGCTGTTCGATTGAGATTTAATTAATTATGCTTTACATTAATCTTTACTCGTGCATGTAATACAAAAAGATGTTCTCATTAAAAACTTTGCACCAATACAGATAAAACTACAGTCCTTCTTGATCACTGTTCCCAATCCCAGGCCCTTCTCACAGTTTGGTGTATGTCATTCCAAACCTGTTTATGGAGTTTCATTTTCCCTTTTCTCACTCAACTACTATCCTCCTTAGGAAGAAGAAGGAAGTGGTTGTGTCTAAGTTATAACAGTAGAATTTTAAGAGTCAAAAACCTTATTTAAATTACTCATTTCAGCTCCAGTCTTGATCTACTCTGACCCAACATCGTTTCACACCATCAAAATTATGCTTTAAATGTCATGAAATTGGGCTCCCAATCCACAAACTTATGATGTAGTTATGTCCATATTTTTAGTGAAACCACATTATTATGACTAGGTAAATGTTCACTATGGAATCAAATAGAATTATATTTCTTCTTTTTATAACTTGTTTAGCTGAAACTTCTAATTGTTTTACTGTTCTTGTTGTAACGTTTTCCCTTTAGTTATTCTCTTTTTTATTCAAGAGTGTTATCATACAACATATTCTTTTTCACTTAGAAACTGACCACCTGGACCCATGCATCCTCCTCCCCCAGTCTGGGCTGTTTTTTTTCTAGATCTGAAAATCAGTTATTAATTCGGGACTTTTCTTCAGCGCTGATTTCCTGTATCCCATGTCCTCTTATTTTTAAATTTACAGTATACTCCTTTATTTTGGTAGAAAACATTCTCCCACCACCTCCTCAGCATGGCTGCTTTAAAGGTAGATTTTCTAAATCCTTGTATGATATAAAATGTATTTATTCTCATTTACCATCGGATTGATTATTTGCACATAGAGTGCAATGTGCACTAATTCCAAAATGCATTTGACCATAAAGACCTTTTCCATGGGTATCCCATTATCTCTTAGGTCTCTATGGAAATATACTTTGAGGAAAGTTTTTCCTTTGCCACTGTAAAATTCCTTCACTTGAATAATCTTGTTTACAGCAGAAATTAACATTGCTAGCACAATAGAGGGATTTTCTATCATATATATCCTAAAGTCCTACTCCTTTGTGCTTACTTATCCTGCGAATTGATGACAATGGAAGCTAGTCATTGATATATGATTTGCATACATTATTTGATAAGGGAGATACTATTAGCTTCATTTCCAAATTAGAAAAGTGGAGCTCAGAGAGATCAGTTGATTTGCTCAAAGTCACACAGCTGGTAAATGGTAGAGCTAGGATTTGAACCCAGGCAATCTGACTGTAAGAACCTGTGCCATTATGTAATATAGCAATAATACCTAGCCTACATACAGTTTCAGGGATTAAGTCACTACCATCATCAAAGAGTTCTGTGTGACTATTAGGACTCCCCACTGTTGTATATGTTAATTATATTTCTCCATTTTTATTCCAATATCTGTTCATTTGTAATCACAACCCTTTCTTGTGATCACAGACAGATATACCACAACAGCGGCAATGCAAAAAAGCACTTTCACTACCATTGTTGGACTGTTTTATGTGCCAGGGATTTAACCTAATGACTTGTAATACAATGGTACCGACTACTATTTTTTCATTATCTGGGAATGGAAGAGAACGACTAATACATAACTTGCTTGGGATGTGGGTTGTGAGTAACCAGAGTCTTTTTCTTCTTCCAGGTCTATGGGTGCTGGGGTGCCACAACTCAGACTTTCGGAACAGAGGCATGACAGCTTTACTGAAGGTTTCTAGTTGTAATGGGAACATTGATGATTATGATGAGGATAGATATGAAGATATTCCAGCCTCCCTCCTGAATGAAAACAATGTCATTGAGCCCAGAAGCTTCTCCCAGAATTCAAGACATCATAGCCCTAGGCAAAAGCAATTCAAAGCCACCACAACTCCAGAAAATGACATAGAGAAGATTGACCCTCAGCCTGGAGAAAGAACGCAGCTGCTTAACGTACAAAGTGTCTCCTCTAGTGATTTGCTGATGCTTCTGGGACAGAATCCTACTCCACGTGGATTACTCTTATCTGATTTCCAGGAAGCCACACATGAAGCAGATGATCATTTACTTGGAGCTATAGAAAGACACAAGGGCCCATCTGCAGTGGCAGATCTCAGACCAGAGCTCCATCACAGTGGGGACAGAGTATTTACTCCTGAGCCAATACTAAAATTAAGATTAAATGAGAATTTGGGGACAACTGTAACAGCAGAGTTGAAGAACCTTGATTTAAAATTTTCTAGTTCATCAGACAACCTAACAGCTTCACCAACAATTCCATCAGACAAGTTGGCAGCAGGTACTGAAAAGACAGGTTCCTTAGGACCCCCAAATATGTCAATTCACTTAAATAGTCATTTAGGTACCATTGTATTTGGCAAAAATTCATCTCACTCTATTGACTCTGGTGTACCTTTGGGCTCGAGTGAAGGAGACAATGATTCCAAGTTGTTAGAAGCAGCTTTAATGAATAGTCAAGAAAGTTCACTGGGAGAAAATGTATTATCAGTGGAGAGAAATGGGTTATTTAAAGAAGACAGAGTTCATGGACCTGCTTCATTAATTAAAGATAATGCTTTATTCAAAGTTAATATCTCTTTGATAAAGACAAACAACGCAACAATTAACTCAACAACTAATAGCAAAAATCATGTTGATGTCCCAACATTATTAAATGAGAACAGTACATCAGTCTGGCAAGATACTATATTAGAAAGTAATGCTGAGTTTCAAGAAATGACTTCTTTGCTTCATAATGAAACATTTATGGACAGAAATATTACAGCTTTGGAGCTAAAGCATGTGTCAAATAAAACTACTTCATCAAAAAATGTGGAAGTGGTCTACCAAAACAAAGAGGGCCCGGTGCCACTAGGTGCAGAAAATCCAGGTCTCTCATTCTTCAAGACACTGTTCTCACCAGATTCAGCAAAGTGGATAAAATGGACCCATGGCGAGAACTCCCTAAGCTCTGGGCAAAGGCCCATTCCAACACAATTAACATCTTTAGGATCAGAAAAATCTGTGAAAGATCAGAAGTTTTTGTCAGAAAAGAAGGTGGTAGTAGGAGAAGATGAATTTACAAAGGACACAGAACTCAAAGAGATGAGTTTTCCAAACAGCAAGAGCATGTTTTTTACTAACTTGCCCAATGTCCAAGATAATAGTACTTACAATCAAGAAGAAAAATCTCAGGAAGAGATAGAAAGAAAGGAGAAATTAACCCAAGAAAATGTGGTTTTGCCTCAGGAATATACGGTAGCTGACACTAATAATTCCCTGAAGAACCTTTTCTTACTAAGCACTAAGCAAAATGTGGAAGGTTTAGATGAGGGGCCATATACTCCAATACTTCAAGACACCAGGTCATTAAATGATTCAGCACATAGAGCAGGGATTCACATAGTCCATTTCTCAAAAATAAGGGAGGAAGAAAACTTGGAAGGTTTGGGAAATCAAACAAAGGAAATGTCAGAGAGGTTTTCAAGCACTCCAAGGATGTCTCCTAATCCAAGTCAGCATAATATGCTCACTCAGCGTGGTAAGCGGGCCTTGAAACAATCCAGACTCTCACTAGAAGAAACTAAGTTTGCAAGGGGGGTAATTTTGAATGACATCTTAACCCAGTCATCCAAAAACATGAACTTTTTGATGCATGGAACCCTCACACAGATAGAGGACAATGAGAAAGAAAAAGGGGCTGCCACTCAGTCCCTCCAATCAGATTGTTCTATGGGGAATCAGGGCACCATTCAAATGAATGCCTCTGCATTACCCATTGCAAAGGAATCAGCATTTCCATCAATCAGACATACAGATCTGACCAAGATCCCATCCCAGGACAACTCTTCTCATCTTCCAGTGTCAGCCTGCACTTATACCTTCAGGGAGAGTTCTGGGGTCCAAAAAAGCACTCATTTCTCACAAGGAGCCAAGAGAAATAAACTTTCTGTAGCCTTCCTAACCTCAGAAATGATTGTAGGTCAAGAAAAGTTCAGCTCCCTAGGGAAAAGTGCCATGAACCAACGCATGTCCAAGAAACGTGAAAACACTCTTTTGCAACAAGGCTTGTCTGAAGCATCTGGCAAAGTTGAATTACTCCCTAAAGCTCATGTTCATCAAGAAGACTCTTTCCCTACAAAAACTAGCAATGATTCTTCTGGCCGCCTGGATCTTATGGAGAAGATCTTCCTTCAGAAAACACAGGGACCTAAGAAAATAAATGGACCCGGAAAAGTGCCCTTCCTGAAATGGACAACAGAGAGCTCTGAAAAGATTCCCTCTGAGCTGCTGGGTCCCCTTGCTTGGGATAACAACAATGCCACCCAGATACCAAGAGAAGAGTGGAAATCCCAAAAGTCACAGAAAAACATAGCTTTTAAGAGCAAGGACACCATTTTGCCCTTGGGCCCTTGTGAAAACAGTCCTTCAGTAGCAGCAATAAATGAAGGGCAAGGTGAACTCCAAAGAGAAGCCACCAGGTCAAAGCAAGGAGAGACTGGAAGATTGCGCTCTCAGAACCCACCGGTCTCAAAACGCCATCAAAGAGAAATAACCCTTACTACTCCTCAGTCAGAGGAAGACAAAATTGAGTATGATGATACGTTCTCAATTGAAATGAAGAGAGAAGATTTTGACATCTATGGTGAAGATGAAAATCAGGGCCTCCGCAGCTTTCAAAAGAGAACACGACACTATTTCATTGCTGCAGTGGAGCGTCTCTGGGATTATGGGATGAGTAGATCTCCCCATGCACTAAGAAACAGGTATGAGTACATTGATTATTCCTTTGTCCTGCTATTGCCACATTTGACTTTACCAGATGCTGAAACAATATGAAAAACACAGCTAATCTGCAGGAATAAGTCTCCAAAGGTTGCTTTATAGAAGAACCCTGAAGTCCAGGAAGCAAAGTCTAGATGGAGCTGAGGAGTAAATAGGAGGTTAGATGATGACACCAATAATGAGAGTTACAAAAGGGTAAATGGGTCAAGGTCAAGAAGCATCAATGGGGAACAGGAAGAAAGTCAGCCTCACCTATCAACCTTGTGAGCTGCAGGAGTAATCTTAATCTTGTGAAAAGGTTCTGAGAGAAGCAGGAGGAAGAAGTAAAGTGTGTGGTAAAGATGTTGAGGATACAGAGAATGTTGTTTTCCATGGTACTGGGGATCCAGGGAGCAAAGTGGGAGGATTTGATTGTTAGGGAAGCAGAAAGAGATTGGACAGGGAAGAGAAAGCACAGAGAAATTTGGAAGATAAGGAGAGTCTTATGGAGAGTCGATCAGTCAACAAGTATTTATTGAGCACCTACTCTATGCCAGACACTCTTGTATACACTGGGGTGCAGCAGAATAGGAGCTTACATTCTATTGGGGGGAGCAAGAGGTAATAAATTAGCAGAAAAGTAAATAGAGGAATCTTGATGGTGCTCTTCAGGAGGTAGAATCTAATATGATAGAGAGTGCCTTGGGGTGTTACTTTAGCTGTGTTGGTCAGAGAAATCCTCTGTGAAATTGAGACCTAAATGATGAGAAGAAGACACTTGATGGAGCTCTGAGAGATGCTTCCAGGCAGAGGGAACAAGGAATGCAAAGGCTCTGAGAATGAAACAAGTTTGAGGAACAAGAAAGGACCAGTCTGACTGGAGTAGAGTGAAGAACTGGGGTGAGGGGGGTGGTTATGGGAGACGAAGTAGTAAAGATGAGCAGTGGTAAGATAATATAGGTCCTAGAGAAAGGTTAGATGCCTTCTTCATTACTCATTGTCGCATTCTGACCTCTCTGTCTACCTCAAGTGGGCCCTTATTGCTGCATAGCAACTATAGAATATTTCCCTAATCTACTGACTTTCCCACTGTCCTGGACCCTTCCCCTGCATTTTCTTTTTCCTTAAATCTCCAACCCCCTTTACCCATTCTCCAATAGCCCTTCTCATTCATAGCCAATGCCTATGCAATGAACGTCCCAACCTCCAACACATTTATTGACTTCCGTAACCATATACCGTCTTCATGCTTATGGCAATAAATAATCATTGCTCCTAAGGCCAACCTCTCCAGTTTCCTAGTCAACCATCTCCAACTTTCCATTATAGGGCATTTTCATCTTATCCAATTCTCAGTTCATAATCAAATTCTTGTTATTTTTTGAAATTATAACCAGCGGTATTCTTTGATGGATTAGATGTGGTTGTGAGAGAAAAAGATGAGTTAGGAATAACTTCGGTGTTTAGAGTCTTGTAACTAAAAAGAAGGAATGGTCATTGACTGCCATGGAAAACACTGGACAAACAAAAGATTTGTGGAAGGAGCAGAAATTAAGAGACTAATTTTGTACATGGTAAGGTAGTTTATATATGAATTTCAAGTTCAAGGAAGATATCTTAGATGGAGATAATACAACTTGATATTATCTGCATAAGCGTAGACCATCATGAGAATAAGTTTAGACAGAAAAGAGGAGAGTTTAAAGAACTAACACTTGGGGCGCCTGGGTGGCGCAGTCGGTTAAGCGTCCGACTTCAGCCAGGTCACGATCTCACGGTCCGTGAGTTCGAGCCCCGCGTCGGGCTCTGGGCTGATGGCTCAGAGCCTGGAGCCTGTTTCCGATTCTGTGTCTCCCTCTCTCTCTGCCCCTCGCCCGTTCATGCTCTGTCTCTCTCTGTCCCAAAAATAAATAAACGTTGAAAAAAAAATTAAAAAAAAAAAAAGAACTAACACTTAAGTTTACAGAGAAAGATTGACAGTGAGGTTAGTGAAAAAAAAAAAAAGATAGAAAATTGGTGTCAGACAGGATGAGAGCACACAGGATGGAGTAATCGGAGTTCCTGGGTGGCTGTCAGTTAAGCGTCCAACTTCAGCTCAGATCATGATCTCACAGTTTGGGTGTTTGAGCCCCACATCAGGTTTTGCACTGACAGCACAGAGCCTGCTTGGGATTCTCTCTTTCTGCCTGCCCCTGTCCCTCCTCTTACCCTCTGTCTCTCTCAAAATAAATAAAACTTTTAAAAAAGGAAATAGTACTGAGAGTTTAACTAAGACAAGGGCTGAGAGTTAGTAAAGATCATCCATGACTTTGAAAATGTATTTTTAATGGAATAATGGAGATAAAAAAGACTTTTTGAAGTGGCTTAAAGGAAGAATAGGTGGAAAAGAATCCAGCTACTGGTATCCAAATCAGTGGCTACCACTCTGGTCTAAACCATCCTCAACTCTCACCCAAATTATTGTAATAGCCTCTTAACTGTACTTTCAGCTTCCAGCCTGGCCCTTATACAGTCTTTTCCCTACACAGAACCTAAAGTAAATTTTCAAAGTGTAATTCTGATTATTGTTCTCTGCTCCAAATCTCCTAGTGGATTTCCTTTCTACCCTTGGTAAATTCCAAAATCTTCACCATGGCCTTCAAGTTTCTGAGATTTGACCCACTGAAACGTCTCTGCTCTCATATCCTACCGTTGTTTCCTGCTCACTCTGTTCTAACCACATTGCCCTTATTGTACTTCCTCAGATAGAGCAAATATATACCTTTCTCTAGGCCTTTGCACTTTGTGTTCACTTCTTAGAATTCTCTTCTTTTGATATCCTAATGTTCATCCTCTCACTTCTTTCACATTGCTGCTCAAATTTCATTTTATCAGTGAGGCTTTCCCTGAACACTGTGTATGCATACAGCTCCTACCACACTCTTTCACTGCACTTACTAGCACCTGAAATATTATACATTTACTTGTTTATAGTCTATTTTCCCCAACTAGAAACTAAGTTCTTGAAAGCACAAATTTTGAAGGTGTTGTTCAATGGTATATCCCCAAAACCTTAATCAGTTCCTGGCATGTGATAAATGCTTAAATATCTATTGAATGAATTAGTAAATGATGGATGTAGGGAGGCAAGACCAGGTCTCTCATGTATGTCTGCACTCCAGAGAATGCCAACTGAATGGTAGCACAATTTCCATGAGCCAAAATAGAGGCAGGGAAACCAGCAAAGGGGCCATTACAGTCATCCGGAGAAGACAGATTATTTAGACCAAAATTGTGGTGGGGAAAATCAAAAGAAATGGAAAGGTGTTGAGTATAATTTGAAAACAAGCAAACAGGACTTGCTGTTAGGTTGAGTATGGGGGCAATGGAGAGGACTCAGAGAAATTTTTTTTTTTTGAGTTATTTTTTTTCCTAAGCAACTAGGTGGACAATGATGACATTTAA